AGAAAGTAATTGCAAGATAAAGGAGAGCCTCATAAGCCTATGGAGGAGTATAATGGGGGGCAAGCAATTTAGTAGATAAAATAGAGAGGAACCACTTGGGTCCAGTTACGAATGAATGAGTTCATTTTGGATGCCAAGCCACTTTGGCATACAATATATTCTGTGTAAATCATGGTGAAGACCCGATCCACCTAACACCATCATCCAGTTTAGATACGTTGATAAAATATCTAGAAATAATACTGGAGAATCTATATCAATTGTATACAGATTTAGTAAACGCTTCCCTCAACATATATTTATGAGCCTCAGATATGCGTCGTAACCACAATAATATGTGTTTTTCTAGATCCGTCAGCGTGAGTTGGCAGATTGTTTGCAGGCACGTGACCTCCGTCTGAGGCTGATCGGTGTATCTCAACGTTCTCGCGACATCCAGGCTCGCCTTGCTGATCTTCTGGCCAGCTGTTCTGTCTCTCATGGCTTGGCGACAGATGGATCAGACCTCCTTGAGCAAGTTAAGCATCTCTCAAAAGAAGAGGAGCGCCTTGCTAGCCAGGTTGGTATTGGCAAATCATTCTATGCTTTCGGCCTTAAGATTTTCCTACTTATTTATGTATTTTTAAGAACCATTTTCTCCCCAACTATTTGCTTACGGACATAATTAATACACAAGCTCGAACTAGAATACAATTATATGAATTATATCTTGATAAAAATTCTTAGTCGGCCACTATCTTTTGCTGATCTAAATGGGCCAGCAAACTAATTCACTTTCTGAGTCTGCTGGCCCCATGGCAGGGCCAGCATTTTAGGCCTGTTATTATGTTCTTTTTTTCCTTTATCCTCTCAGCGTATTTTGAATGGATAAATGCTGGTTTTGCCTCGCCATAATGACTTATAAATTTCCTGTGATATACTACACTTAGTACTTGCAAATTTTAACTTTTCACTCATTCTGGTCACCATAGATCGCATGAGAATAGTAAGGACTGATAGTTGAATTTTCCAACGATAATATAAATGGTCCTCTCGATGCCAGTGCATTTCACTTTGTCTGGTCTCTCGAAAGGCTTTATCTTCCAGCCTGGACTGCGGTTTCGACCTCGACTGGTTCTCATCAGCTGCCAACAGGAATCCAGCCTAGATCGTATGAGTAAAGTGACGTTACTTTAGCACTATACCACACAGTCACGGGTGCCATTGGGTTACAACGTAGACGTGACTTTCAAGACAAGCCAGACCTCTTCTACATCATATTTATTGTGGGATTGTTTTTAGGGCGAACTTGTATTCTCTATTCATTTGACGATTTTCATTTCGTATGAAAATACATGAAGAGATTCGTAGGTAAATCTCACCAGATGACGTCGGCTGATTCGCAGTGTACTGCAGCCGTTTGGGATCAATATGACGTTCAGATTGATGCAGTCCACGAGACATCCCCCAACATTTCGGGCGAAAATGGGCTGAGCTTTCGTTCGTCATGTGACGAACACCGTCAAAGCTGCGACTCATTCTTGCAAAAGCCTCAAGTTAACACTGAGTCAGGAAAACTAACCGGCTTTTTTCTATATGATATATATACTTATTGCGAGCAAAATTTCAAATATAGATTAATATATAAAGATTTGGTTAATTCATGTATGCTCGAATGTGACTGTCTGCATGTCTGCGTGTCTGTACGCAAAACCGGTCATAACTCAAAGTAACTAGTAAAAAGCTTAACGTCAGCCCCGGGTCATCAAGGCTTAATGACCCAAGGAAAAAAGGATGACCGAGATTGCGTTAGTCCGTAAGTAACCCTGGTTAAATTAATGAGATGTAAGTCTGTACACGTGAAAGTCAGGTTTCGAAATCACCAGTCCGAACTCGTTAATCTGGGCTATTAAGGCTCAATGAGCCAATGGGTAGCTTGGCTGGGATTGCGTAGCTCCGTGAGTTTGTTT